CTCTTCTCTTCCTTAAAACACTAAGGGCTCAGGTACTTCCATTACATTCATTATAGTCTATGATTTTTTTATAGTCAACTCTACTCCTACTCTCTCCCCCTAGAAAACTATAATCCTCACATTTTCTAGCACCTACATTTTATAAAACAAAGATCAAGTCCAGATATGTTAAACAATTTACCTCCTTCGAACATAGAACTAGTTAGTCACACACCTAATTCAGAACTTTAACTCAGGTCTCCTGAGTTAAAGTCCTGGACTCTTTCCACTGCACTACTCATTTCCATGGGTAGATGTTATGAGAGTCACGCCCAACACTTAAAAATGATATAGATCCGATCTGTGTTTCAAGGGTGTCTATCAAATCCATTCACCTCACAGTACTAATTTGAATAAGGGGTTCTGAATGTAATGTGTGAATTTAATTGATATGATATAATTACCTGTTAAATGTAAATGTATTTCAGGGCCTTAAACCAAAGGAAATGTGAGAAGTCCCAGCACTTGAGACATCAGAGGAAGGAAGTAGAAGGCAGGCTGCAGGCGTACTCTGACTAGACCACTCAAGATCTGTGAGGTCTCTGTAGTCTTTTCCCCTGTCAAGTGAGAGGTTCCACCATCAACTCCTGATGATTTCTGCTTATTTCTCAAGTATGCTCTCCATAGAGTAGAGTGACACTTTAGACTGGAATTCCAGGTGTTTGATGTAATAAGGTACCCCCCCCCCACCTTTTTTTAAAGCACATACTAGCCTCAAATTGAAAAGCAAGGTCAATATTTTTTGAGTTTCTGGGGAGTTTTGAGATGATTTTCAGATAATTTTGAAGAAGTTTGTTACAGTAAAACTATTGAGAATTGTTGCCAGCTTCCTGTTAGGAAATCAAGTACCATTAACTCATTTTGAAACTTGACTAAATCCCTTTGAGAACACATACCTGTTATGGGGTGTCTCTCTAGAACTCCTGTATTAAAGATAAAATGATTAGATTATGAAATTAGTTCATCCATCCTAGTTTGAATAGACTGTCTGGGTGGTAACTATAGACAGCTGGGGCATGGCTTGAGATGGGTCACTGGAGGTATGCCCTAGAAGGGTGCATAGTCCCTGTGGCCCCATCCCTTTTCTTTCTCTCCCTGCTTCCTGAATGCCATGAATGGAGTTACATTCCTTCACCCCACCCTTCCACCATGATGTTCTTTTGCCTCACCTTGGCCCTACAGCAATGGAGTCAGCCCATCATGAACTAAATCTCTGAAACTGTGAACCCAAAATGAACTTCTCTAAGTTGTTCTTGTTGGTTATTTTGGTCATAGTGACAAAAAGCTGACTAATAAATCTTCCATCAAGAGGATTTGGTAAAACTTCTACTTAAATGTACAGGAAGATTCAAAGGCTGTTTGGTCTGTTAGAATGCATATGGGTTAAGGAATGTAGCCCAGCATTTCTTATTGAGGAAGTCCCTGTTCCTTTCCTTGATTGCCTGGGGACTGTGAGAAAATGTGTGGATTCTGCAGAGAAGGAAAGAGGACCTGTGTTGAGTAGTCAGGGGTAGGGGAGGCATATGCAGCCTTGTCCTCTGTGTGGTCACAGAAGTTGTGCTCTCTATTAGTATTTCTTGCTGGGACCTGGTAGGGGTTGGGGTGAGTTTTGCTCCCATTTAACAGTGTCTGGAGTCATTTTGGGTGGTCATCTCTGGGAGAAGGGATGCTACTGGCATCTAGTGGTGGAGGCCAGGGATGCTCCTTAATATTCTTCAGTATACAGTACAGCCCTCCACAATAATTACCGGGCCTCAAATACCCACAAGATTGAGAAACCCTGCGGTGAGTTCTCTTTTAAACTCTTCAATCTGCTGAGAATGCTATTATTAATATGCTTGGGAATACTATGACAGAAGAATAATTTTCTCTTGACTTTTTTTATACCTGAAAAATGTAGAGGTGCCCTTTTCATCCAGTTATAATCATGTTGTTAATAGAGTCATCAGTTTGTACTGTAAGTTACTTTACTCTCTGTTGCCTCATGAGAAATAGCACCTAACAGTTGTCCTTTGGTATTTTATTCAAGGCACTTCACTTACTTAACAAAGAACCATAAATCTTCATAGGCAGAAGATTTATAGCAAAAAGCATTTCTAAGATGTTGTTCATAAGTCTGATGTAGTGTCATGGCCAGAACAGTTCACCTAATGTCTAATATAATTGTCTTTTTCAGCACATTAACCATTTGTTTTTGCTGTGTTCTCAATAGAATCTAGACTATCTAGGAGGGGGAAAAGTAAAACTATTTAATTAATTGCTTTAGAATATTGTATCACTTGATTTCATCTTGGCACCAATTTAAAGAGCTGCCATCCGGTACTTCACTGGCCACTGTTTGTCATCTTTGCCTTCTTTTTCTAAGCTAGATTAAATGTTGTGTGATTAGCCCACTTTTAACAATGCACAGCGTTACTACTTTAGACTGCACAGAAACAGCCATATGAATCTGGCTTGAGCTGGGTCACAGCATGTTGTCGCACACCCGCTTGCCTATACTTTTCTTGACATGAATATTTCTTGGATGAATGGTTTCAGGGCCACAAAGGAGCGTATTCATCCGTGTTGCTGGATTTACAAGGATTTTTGCACACCAGAAGCATGGGCTGCATGAGCTCCATGTTAGTCACTTTAGCTCTGATCGTAGCATTAGTTTTCTGAGGCAAAAATAAACAGAAGTGTCTAAGCAACAAGCTGCTACTGCATTTGTTAGCAACAAGCTTTATGATCAGACAATGGCTTTGTATCACCCTTTAACAAACAGAGAGCATTCACGTGAGCAGGCTACGTTGAAGCCGAACACGAGAATATTCTTCTCAGCCTTGCAGCTGGGTTTTAAGAGAAGGTTTATTCTCTTTCATTCTTCCTTCTCTTTGGAATTTGCTTCTAGTTTTTGTTCTTTAGAATGGCTTTCAAGCTTTCGAGGGAGAAAAAGAATGTGGTAGTTGATAAATGTGTGCCATTTTCCTCCTAGACACGGCTCTCTTTGTATTAGCATGTTTTAACCCCAAATTAAGATTAAGTTTTAGGTTTGTTTTCTGAAAGGCAACATTTGCCCCTGAATTTCAGGGTAGTCTAAATGTGGCATAAAATTTAAAGTTTAACTATAGGTTTAAAAAGTAAATATTTTTCTGAAAATGCATCCTCTAAACATACATTTCTTTAGGTATATCCACAAAGCATCTTAGCTTGCAATAGACTAGTTTGGAGCCAACTATATTTACCTTTATCCTCACATAAAGGGGACTCTGAAATAGTAATTTTCCTATGTTGAGATAAATGCTGAGTTTATCTCAACATAGGAAATAGCCAAACATAGGACAAGTTCAGAAACCATTATTGTAGTCCAATGAAAATACCTCCCTTGCACACATATGGAAAAATTCCATAATATCTGAAAGATCATCTTGAATGCCATAATCTATTGACCTGAAGTCTGTCTGTGATCCTTTGTGATAAGTACTGGAAAAGCTGATTCTGACAGATAAACATGTTTTATGATGTTTAAGTTTTTCTAATGACTGCTAAACTTGAGGAGGTCCTATTTTGTGCATTGGAAAATAGTGACTACTAAGTGGGATATGAGAGAGGTCATGATCATCCTCAGAATTTGAGGTCTCCAGTGTAAAAACATTTTGGATTGCACTCTGAGGGAAACCAAGAAATTCAATGCAGAACTTTGTCTTTTATTATTAGTAGCTCCAAATCTCCAAGTATATATATATTATGACTCATCTCCAGAGAGCCTGATCTGGACTGCCTACATAGGTAGTTACCATATCTAAGGAGGATATTTATATTTATCTAGTGGGGTTTTTTTTAGGCCCTAAACATTACTAACAATCTCACTGAGTTTCTGAGGTAGGCATGCTCTTCTGCTCTCCCATCCCTCACCCTTTCACCCACCTCACTCTATGAAGATAACCTCACTCACTTGGAGAAAACAAAATCCTTGCAAAAGGAACTGTTTCAGCTTACAGCCACCCGTCTCCAAATTTCTTGTATCTTACATAGATTTGGTCTGCCTCCACATTACTATCATGGATAAGGTGGCACTTTTCAAAAGCTAATCTAATTTCTAGATTCCATTCCCTATCTATGGCCCCTTTTTACTTTCAACTGGTTCCTTCTCATTAGCATTAAAACCAGCTCACTTGTCTCCCACTTTAAACAAACAAAAAATACTTTCCTTTACCCCAACCCAGCCTTCAGGTCGTACTTGCAAAGGCGGTCCATTCCCCATAAGGTAAGACTCAATGTTCAGTCATTTAAAATTAATTTTGTAGAGGCTGGGTATGGTGGTACACACTTGTAATCCTAGCTTCTAGCAAGTGTGAGACCAGGTTTGGCAGTTTAGCAAGACCCTGTCTCAAAATAAAACATAAAAAGGGTGGGGATGTAAATTAGTTGTAAAGTGCCCCAGTGTTCACACTCAGTATAATTAGTTATTTAATTTTGTAGGGTTGTTCTGTTTTGTTTAAGTTATATAATATTAACCTAAGGAAGAAAACCACATAGTTGTTTTTAAGTTAAGTTTTTAAAAATTCTTGCACAAGGCCACATAACTTGTAAATAACAGAGTCAGAATTTGACTCTTAACTCTAATTGCCAATCATACTGAAATTTTTCCACTGGATTTGGCGTGAGGTCGCTAGTGATCTTAGCAAAAATGTATTGTCAGTGGGTGGGGGATAGAGGAGCCATATGAGATTAGTTTAAAAAATAGGAGTTAAGAATTCTTCACCCTGAGCCCAGGATGGTGGCACATGCCTGTAATCCCAGCAACTTGGGAGGCTGAGGCAGGCGGATTGCAAGTTCAAGGCCCTAAGCAACTTAGTGAGACCCTGTCTCAAAATAAAAAAAAGAGCCGGGGATGTAACTCAGTGGTAAATCACCCCTGGGTCCATTCCCTAGTACAAAAAAATTAAATAAATACTTTACCCTGTTTCTCTTCTTCACAGCCACAGTTCTAGAAAGAGCACAATGCCTGATACATAGTAAGTACTCAGCAAAATGTTAGCTATATTGTTATTGGCCTCTCAGTAAAATTTGACATATTTCATTCATCCACTCAGCAACTGTTTTATTTGAGTTCCTATTGGGAACTATTGGCACTTTTGGCACTGTTATAAGTGCTGGAGATACAGCAGTGTATAAACAGATAAAGTGCCTTCTTTTACACAGATGTACATGTAACCTGGCTTTTCAGCTTGTCTTCTCTTTTACCACTGAATGTACGGTTTATTTAGATTATATCCTGGGATCATTTTGTTTCTTCCTGGGTTGTTTAACCTACTCCCAAGATGTCAGTAACCATCGAAGAGCTGAACAATTGTGAACCCTAGACCTATTAGATAGATCAAAAGCCCTCAACCCAATTTTTCCTGTTCTAGTTATCATTTGTTGTATAATACACCACCCTAAAATACAGTTTCTTAAACAGCAGTCATTCATCTTGCTCATGCATCTGCACTTGGGCAGAGGCTGGGAAGAATGACTTCTGTGCTTCACATGGCATCAACGGGATTAAGACAATTTGCTTTCCAGGTAGTGTACTCCACATGATACCAAGTGAGTGCAGGATTTTGGCCAAGGTCTTGACCAGAGCTATGATCTAGGAAGCCTTGGTTCCTCTCCATGTAAATCTCTCCATTATCTGATTGTTCAGTTTTCTTCTGTTTGGAAGCCTTGGGGCAGGTGGATGATGTTCATGGTGGCTCACAGCTCCAAATCAGTAGCTTTAGACAAACTAGTCTTGGAATTTACAGTATTGCTTCTGCCATAATCATAAGCCCATTCAAATTCAAGAAAGGAAACATATTCTCCTTCTTAGAGGGAGATTATCAGAAATGACATTGTAAAAAGAAAGTGAGACCGAAGATATTGTAGCTATCTTTGGGAAGTCTCTATCACATTGTCCAAAGTTGAATTAATAATTTTCTACATGCCTGATTTTTCTCCATTGTTCCCAGATCCATAATTGGCTCCACCACCAGCGTGACTGCTTATGTTAGAAACCTAGAAGCCATAACTAACACCTCTTTACCTCCTTTCTTTTCATTCCTCCGGAACCTATCTTCTACCTGTCCAGTGGATCACTGGATCTGTCATTCTCAAAATTTCCAGACCTTTCTGCTGCCACTGGCATGAACCTAATTTAGGCCATCACTTTGTCCCTCTGCAGTTTTGCTACAATGGTTTCCCAACTAGAACTTTCTCTTTTTTCCTCCTGCTTCCTTTGTTATCTTTTAAAATATAAATCCATTCATGGCATATCCCTGCTGAAAATCCACTAAAAGCTTCACTTTGGGGCTAACGAATAAAGTTCTTTCTCTGGCCCCAAAATATTTGCATCTTCTGGCTTGTACCTATTTCCAGTTCATTTTGGATCTCCCTTCCCTTTTGCATCTGCTATACAATAGGGTCTTGAAGTTTTTTTCTCTTTAGGGTTCTCATTTAACCCTTGCTGTTCTTCTTGACTGCCACACTGTATTCATATTCATGTTTGAATGTGATTTATTTAAGGAAACCTGGGTTAGAATTCTCTTTTAAACAGTTCAGTGGTATCTGCTCATCTTTTTATAACCCACATTATACTTTTAATTGCTTGTATCATCTTTGGTTTTCTTCCTGCATAAACTCTATGTGGTCCAACAATTGGTCCTGAATCTCAAAAGCCAAAACAGTGCCTAACAGATACAGCATTCAATACAGACCTACAAATGAATATGTATGTATACACATCCATATCAAGATATTAAATATACATACAGTGATTTGTGAACTTTTACATACAGAGGTTTAATAAAAAATTTTTACATTTGGGTAAATTTGTCAGTGATATATTCAGAAACTACTGTTATTTGGGCATATAGATGTATTTATCATGAATCTATTCTATTACTTAATTTTGCTATTTTTCAAAATATAGAGTTGTTGTGTTCCCTCTTTTATACCTTGTCCTCTGACTGGGTTCTATTCATCACTTATATTCAAGGTAAGGAATCTGCTGCAATGAAAGCTGATCTCCTGAGGGCCAGGAATATGAAAAGGTACATTAACCAACTGACTGTGGCAAAGAAGCAGTGTGAAAAGAGAATCAGAATTCTGGGAGGTCCTGCCTATGACCAGCAAGAGGATGGGGCCTTGGATGAGGGGGAAGGGCCTCAAAACCAGAAGGTAGAACTTTTTAGTTTCTTACTTTGACCTTATAATTTTATTATAAACAATGATGTAACCACATATATAGTCTTTTAGCTTTTTAGTATTTCACTTAAGACATGTGTTCCATAATTACAGACTCACATACTTGTTTTTATGAGTAAAAGAACCCTGTTACTTGGTGTCCTTGACCTCTATCAACAGTAGAATGTAGGCATGGCAAGGGTGTGCATGTGTGCATATGTGCCATTGCATCTTTTCCCCTTGTTTTCCCCCAGTTTCAGAGAAGCATGTTTTTATTTGTAGGTTTCCAATCAAGTCGCTCACTCAGTTGGTTGAAATAACCACCTGTGAAGTAGAAAGCATCTTAAGCATTATTTTGCTTACTCCTTGCCACATGCTATGAAATTTGTACTCAATATCTTCATTTTCAAAAAAATAAAATGCTATATTTAAGTAACCTACCTAAGAACACATAGATAGAATGAGGCAGAATTAGATTAAAAACACAGATGTGATTGATTCACAAGTCTTAAGTGCTTTCTCTCTAAACCATAATGCCAATGACTTTTTGTATTACAAAACTCTGGATTGTGTTGCTACCAAGTCTTTAAATCACAGAGCCTAGGAACATGATGTAGCCCTACTTTAGTGTCTTATCCTAACTCTAAAGGACCAAGTTTGTCTTACAAGACCTGGAGCATGCTGGGATGGAAGGAAACCGTCAGTATACCCTGAGGAGTTTGGCTGTACCATCTGAGACCGGGACTGAAAGGCAAATGCCAAGATCCTTTTTTGTAAGCTATTGTTTAGTCACAAAGAAGCCAGCATCTATAAGCTTCTAACCTTCACCTGTTCTGATTTCTTGATCTTTCTTGCTCTTCTTCGACTTGGATCAGTTACTTACTTGTCTGTCACATTCCCCTGCATCCCTATTCTAGTGATGTGCTTTGTACTTTTTCACTTGTTCCTGGACTAGTCTCCATTGGAGCCTGTTCAGGCAGGTTTCTGTCCCAGAATTCTGCAGTATCTTATACACATGGCACAAGTTCAGCTCCAAGGGACCCTTGTTTTATAGAGGAGTGCCCTGCCTATGAGAGATCTGTTAATTTTGCTATTGGCAATGGAAACTTTCTGAGATTTTGGATTTTGATCCAAAGTGAAAACTTCACATTTTGGTGAATGTAAGAGTAATTTGGTAGGCTGAATATTCTCCTTCTTCTTTCTTTCCCTCAGCTTTTGGTCTCCTAAATAAATATCTAGCCCCATTTGTCATAGATGAAGTCTTAATTTATGTCCTATTCATTCTTCATTAATCCATTCATTTAATTAACATTAATGAAGGCCCACAGTCTCTCAGGCATAGTGCTAAATACTAGGATACAAAATGAGTAAGATAGAATCCCTGTTCTCAAAGAAGCTAAAGTAGGCCGGGTGTGGGGGCACATGCCTGTAAACCCAGCAGCTGGGGAGGCTGAGACAGGAGGATCGCAAGTTCAAAGCCAGCTACAGCAAAAGCAGGGCTCTAAGCAACTCAGTGAGACCCTATCTCTAAATAAAACACAAAACAGGGCTGGGGATGTGGCTCAGTGGTTGAGTGCCCCAGAATTCAATCCCTGGTACCAAAAAATAAGTAAATTAATAAAAAAGTCCAAAGTAATTATAAAACAAAATGAAAGTAATCTAGTAGAGAGAGTAGAAAATATTTGGGGTTTAGAAATTAGTGACAATACATATCTAACCTTTTCTAAAGAAAAGCCAACTTTCACATCAGTTTATTCATTTCATCCAAGTCCAGTCCAAAACGAATAATACTGAATGTAGTCTAGGACTCTGTATTTGAGTCTAAAAAGGTCCCCTGGCTTCATCTGTTGCTGGAGTTGTTAACCCCATCTTCTCTCTTCTGTAGCTAAAGTTGATGTGAGTTACTTTAAGCCTCTTTATAGTAGAGTTAGAATTTGTGCTTCAGAATTCTCTACTGGTAGGATTTACACAAAGTAAAGATATCTGTTGTGATGTCACAAAATTAGTAAACTGACTAAATACTAATGCCTTGAAATATATATGGAAACTGATTACTAATGGTCTGTACAAAATGAATGGCCATCTCCTTTAGTTAGGTACCAGAAGTTGTTAGAAAATGCCTTTCTCTTTCTACCCGAAAAGCATATTAAGCAAGGGCTCATTGTTGGATAGAAGAGTTGAATGTACATTGACTTTAGAAATATCTTACTGGTAATAGTTGAGAAATTTGCCAACTGCCATGATGTTAATTTTAAGAATCTCAATATATGAGTTTTTACTTAACTTAAAATTTTTGAGTTCCACTTATTAGATATAAATTTTTACCACTAATTCAGGCTAAGGTTATGGCTAAATTAATCATTTCACCTAATTGAGTTTTATACATTGTTATGGAGGTCATCTGTTTTCTCACATTAGAGCCATCCATATTCAAGGTTGTTCTTTCCGTGTCTTCAGGTAGATTCCTTTTTCTGTTTCTGCGAATATACAGAATAGTAAACAAAGGAGTAGTAGAATTGAGTTTGGTATATTCAACAATGGAATTTTAGGGACCAATTAAAATGATGCTTACAAAAGATTTTTTAATGAGTGTGGTATTGTAAACAAAAAGTCAGTATATAAAATCACTTGTGTATTCCTCAGCTGTATAAAAATATGATGGAAAACAAAATTCTAAACCTTTAGACTCCAGCTTTTTGGTCTTTTTATACATTCTCTTCAATTTTTTCTATCACTGGCAACTATTGAGTTTTAGGCATAGAATATACTTTCTGTAGGGATTTTTATCTGTTTCTAGAACTGTACCTGATATCAAGTAGATGTCAAGTAAATCTTTGTTGAGTGAGTGAATGATTAATAGAAAATTGTATCTCTTGAATATATGCATTTTGAATATTCAGCAAGTTTTATTCCTTTTAAAATTTAGGAAGATGGTAGATGAGATATTTCAGTTTACGTTGGCTATGACCTTAAAAGTGCATTCTTCCCTAAATGTAGAAGTTAATCTGTTCGAAGTTAAAGCAAACTGGCATTTAAAATTTGATTTTAAAAATATTTTTCTTAAATTTCTATTATAGATTCTTCAGTTTGAAGAGATCTTGACCAATCCTTTGTACCGAGAGCACTTTCGATTATACATGGAAAGGATAGACAAAAGAGCTCTGATTAGTTTTTGGGAGTCTGTGGAACATTTAAAGAGTGCAAACAAGGTAGTATATATAGGCTCAAGGGATTTTTAATTCCTAGCTGATGAAAATTGCATGTTAGGCATGTTGTCTCTTTTCTCAACACAGCTGTAAGTATACATTAAAAGAATATTTTAAACTAAATATAATGTCATTATATCTCAGCCTGTTTTGACAAATAAAATTATATTTTGGAATGTGTAGTCATGGGGAAAAGAGATTCATAAGTGTCCTAAGAGATTAAATTGCTATTTAATAAATTTGGTCTTGTTCACCTCAGTCTCATAACCTTGCCATTTATTATAGCATAATACTCATTTTTCCTTTTTGTTCATTTTTATTCTTCACTTTATAATATGTATTTTTTCACAACTCTTCTTTAATTTCATTTAAAATTTGATTGAATAAACAAACATAAAGTACATTTGCGGTTATGTATGCCTCTGTCAATGAAGAAGCCAATGGTTAAACAGTGTTCTTTGTACTTGCAGGTTCTGAATAGATAATAAAAATTAGCTGGGCAAGGGGATATAGTCCTGGCTACTCAGGAGGCTGAGGTGGGAGAATAGCTTTAGTAATTGAGGCCAGCCTGGGCAACATAGCAAGACCCTATCTCAAAAAAAGAGAAAGAATAAATGTCTATACATTTTTAGTGTATATGTATGCATATGTCTACATACATAGATAGCAATATGTTTATATACATGAAATATCAGTGTATAACATTTCCAGAGGTTTATTAATAGAAGCACAGAGAGCATTCTTGTGTATTGAATTGCTCATTTGCTTATGAATTTTGCTAGAACAGAATGCTAATTTAAAATACATTATAAATCACAAACTGCCTTGGTTAAGGAACTAAATACAGACTTACAGTATTTTTAAATTTTTGTCTTAGGAATATTTCTCATTGTTAAGTTACAAACCACAAATTACCTCATTTTACCCATTATTGTATTTGGCAACTTCATTGCTTTTTTTAATCAACACCTTTAGCTCCTCTCAAAAGAATACAGTAAAGAACAATCTAAAGAGTTTTCTTAAACAACTGACTATGTTTTCAAAATTCTCAAGAAATAAGAGCATACAGTTTCCTCAAAATAGCCACATTTTCACCTAGCAGCTCATTACTATATGTATTTTATTTTCACTACTGTTGAGAACTTTACATACCATTCCTAGAGTTAATAAAGTATCTCTAGAAGAAGTGTAAATATTATGTCAATCAAAAGAGATGTTGGCATTTCTGAAGTAGGCCAGTGGTGACCCAAGTGTACTGTGTAAGACTAAGCTGATCAATATAAGGTTGATGACAATGTAATTATGCTGCATTAACATTTTGAAGAATATCTGTCTTCTTTTTTCAAAATGTACAACTACGATATTGATATATTTCTGGGATAAAAATTACTTATATTAGTGGGTGAGGACTTACAAGTATTCATTTTGATAAAAAGTCAGATGAATTTTCATCAATAATTTGTATCCCTATGGAATTGAGATTTATGGAAAGCTATCCATTGCAGAAAAAGAATTTCTAATTCTTGTGTTTCCTCCATTTCTGGCTTTTAAAAGAAATTACAGATGTTAATTGTTTGACATAAGGTGCTTATTTTAAGAAACCAGTAATTTTTTCAGGGCCTAACACTTATCCCTTAACTCTGAACATGGACACAGAAGTCTAAGCTCTGCAATGGTAACAGTATCAGGATACATCCCAAATATCTTCCTTCCAGCCTTAAAATGCAAACAATTCAGTGGAAAGTAATTTCTCTCAGAGATGATATTACTTACCCTTCTTGTTCTTCAACTCTTGTCTTTTCAGAATGAAATTCCACAATTAGTTGGTGAAATTTATCAGAATTTCTTTGTGGAAAGCAAAGACATATCTGTAGAAAAATCACTTTACAAAGAAATCCAGCAATGTCTTGTAGGAAATAAAGGTATTGAGGTGTTCTACAAAATCCAGGGAGATGTATATGAGACCTTAAAGGATAGATATTACCCTTCATTTATTGTCAGCGATTTGTATGAGAAATTGATGATAAAAGAGGAAGAAAAACATGTCTCAAAATTGATTTCCAACAAAGATGATATGGTGAGTCAAATTTAATTTTTGACTTCTTTTTCAGTGAATAAGCTTTAAATATTATTTCAGTGAATAAGCTTTAAATATTATTATATTTTGGGCACATATTAGAGGAGCTAAATTTGATGTACACTTCCATGTTTTAATATATAGGCTTTTAAGTAGAATAAGAAGTTCAATTAACTCGTTGCTTCTGATCTTGTACAATTCTTTCTTCCCTTTTCTGCTCTTCCAACCAATTTGCTGCCACTTATGAGTACTAAGTCAAAACCTTTGCCTGCCTTAGATACAACCCTAGTTTGACTCCTGAAAAATAAGAATAGACCATTTGTGGCTTAGGCCAGCTAAAGGAATCAGTAGAGCTATGTCTAGCCTCCAATTAGTGAGAAAAGGGTTGGCAGGGGCTGGGGGGGATGGATGAAAAGAAAAGGGATATGGAAGGAATTAAAGTAACTATTTTGGAGTTTTAAAAAATCAGATGAAATTAAAATGTTCTAAAGAAATCTTGGTAAGCCATAACTTAGGTCTAATTTTCTTATAGTGTCTACTCAGTCATTTTGGATAGCTTCAGGTAACGTCTCTCATTTACTAATGGTGACTACATCTTTAAGATTAGTACATAAAAAGATTATAATTTATCCTGG